CATCTAATGATCCATTAACTACTACAAAATCATATATATTTTGCCAAAATTCCAAGAAAAACAAAATATAATGCAATTTTACCTCTGGTGTCAGGATTAACATTCTTCTTCCCCCTTTTCTTCATCTGTTGACTAATGAAGTCAATCCACCCCCTCTTCAGCAAGTTCAATTGGTTTCTCTGCAGTGTTGGTTTCTGCTACTTTCACTGGGGGTTTATGTGGGGAAACAAGTTTTGTCTTACCATGGCTCGATGAGGCACTTTTGTTTGTCATAACCTTCACTTTCTTTAGCTTACCAAGGTTTAGGTTCTGAACAACATCACTATCTGAAGGTATACGTTCTATTAGTGTATGTGAATTTACAACACATATATGTTTCATGTATGAATCAGGTTCATGATGTTGATGCATAATAATTAAACAAAGACTCTTAAAAAATACAAATATTCCCTCTAAGGCCATGTGATTTTCATAATATGAATCAGTTTCATGTGTGATTTTCATATTGTGAATCAGTTACATGCATGTTTGTTTCCCCTCTTAACAGTATAGGCACAGTTCCAACCTCATATTGGTTAAAGATACATAAGAACAAAATGAATGACACACTTTGAACTTGGTATGAATTAGGATTTTTTAGACTACATTTTTTCTGCAAACTTTTCATCTTGTTTCCAAAAAAATAACAATATGATGATTAAATAAAAGGTATTTTGGGCAGAGGTGGTACATTGTAGTGGACTTGTGGCAGAGGGTCACTTGTCAGATCCGTGACTATATAAGGCCTTTTGATTATTAGTTCATGTTTTTATATTGATCATGGACACGTAAAATAGTATCCTCTTTGCAACATATTGGGTACCTTTATCTGTTACAGATAAATGCAATAAGCTATTTTCCAAGAATAAAATAACATGAGTTTATAAAATAGTATCCTCTTTGTAACAGATTGGGTCCTGTTATCTGCTATAGATAGGAGCAATAAGTTATTTCTCATGAATAAACTACCTCTTACTATTCATGAGATAAATATAGAACAATAGAAGTGGCTGAGTGAAGACTATGTATATGTTAATAGACAATAACTACAGAACTGCAATGCATAGTCCAAGAAAAGAGGAGGGTGGTCAAAATAAAGAGAAGGGATCATTGGACATAACAAAAAACTAAGGACTCAACATATTACATACCTGCAGTTTAGGCAAAAGTGCCTCAAGAGGTCTTTTTATAGAAAATTAACGCTCGTGTAGTCATTGTCTTAGAGAAATTTCAAACATATGTTATACTCCTTCCATTTGTATATTTGTCTCCTTTTTTCCATTTAAATCGACCACTTCCATTTTGCACCCTTTGTTAAAGTACATAAGAAACTTGTAATGTTTCATGCCTAATGTCTAAGTTTTTAAGATGCATGACAAGTAACTGATTCAAAATAATGCAGTTTTTAAGAATATCTTAAGCATAACAAATAAAAGTACTCATAAAATAGAAATAGAATAAAAAACCATTGGATTATGAAGGAAAACGCCATCCGTGGGACTCGAACCCACGACCAAAAAGCCACGCGCTCTACCAACTGAGCTAGAACGGCTTATGATTTTCGGTTGCCGGATTATCGACTATCATAAATTATTACTATTATTTAGGGCGTTTGAATTGCTTATTTGAACTGATTATTCAAAGTTTTTAACGTTCGGATTGAAAGAAAAATGTTTATATAATCAACCACCACCTACAGAAATCGAAATCGACTTTCACCTACAGAAACCAAAATCGAAGTCCAAATGGGTTTACAGATATCAAAATTAGGGCTGTAAACGAACCGAACGAACACGAACGGAGGCTTGTTCATGTTCGTTCGTTTAACTTAACCGAACAAACGAACGAACACGAACGGTAAACGAACGAAAATCTTTGTGTTCGTGTTCGTTCGTTTAGAAATAAGGTGTGTTCGTGTTCGTTTATGTTCGTTCGTTAACATGCTAAACGAACGTAAATGAACGAACATAAACGAACGGCCTAAACGAACATAAACGAACGGGCTAAACGAACATAAACGAACCGGCTAAACGAACATAAATAAATATTATTTGAATTCTAAGTAATTAAATAAAAGATTGTATATTAAATTTAATATATAAACGAACATAAACGAACGTAAACGAACGGTAAATGAACGAACGTTCACGAACGGTAAATGAACGAACGTAAACGAACGGTAAATGAACGAACGTTCACGAACATAAATGAACGAACGAGACTCCTGTTCATGTTCGTTCGTTTAACTAAACGAACAAAAAAAATTGTTCATGTTCGTTCATTTATTAAATAAACGAACATAAACGAACTTCCCGCCGAACGGTTCACGAACGGTTCGATGAACGTTCGGTTCGTTTACAGCCCTAATCAAAATCATAAGATGCAAGAAACCCTAGCGTAATAGTGCTGAATGCTGATGATTTCCGATTGCCTATGATCAAATATCATATATTAGGTTGTCCATGATCTGAGTAGCTGGGAAACAGAGAAATTTTCTCTATTGAAGATTGCTTTTGTTTCTGCAGGTGAGTTCAAACCTTGTTCATTATATTAATTTTTCCATATATATAGCTTACATGCGGTTTGTATCTCTAGCAATGGAGCCTTATTGTGTGGCAGGACTGTTTGTACGAATATTTTCTGTCACTACAACAGCATCTCTCATTGGAAATATGTCTCCTCCAAGAAGAGCTTCTTGACTTATTGAAATCGTCAGTAATCTCTCTCTATCTCTCTCTGTCTTACTAGAGAAGCATTTTTCGTATTGCCTCAATTTCGTTCTTTTTCTTCTGTATTGTAATACCCATGAGAACTTCCTACAATCATGAAAAATGATTGTATAGCTTCAGGAGTATCTTTTTGGTATATTGCTGAACCCATAGTTGTTGTGAGGTATGGTATAATTTTGATCTTTGGATGGCCTCTCTTACTGGGATAGTTTTTACAAAACTTCCTTCAAACTAATAATATCCTTGTGCAATGATGTGAGATTGGGCCCTGATCGGTCCTAGGGGACATGGGATCAATATATATGTACTATATAACAAACTGATCACATGCTGGGACTGAATGACATCCCCCATATTTATATTTTAGGTATTCGATGCATAGGAGAATGTATATTTTTCTTACATAATTTGTTATTAGTTTTATGGGCCCTTGTCTTCTGTAGGTAAAGCTATAACATTCTTAGAACAACTTTCTCCGTTTTCATTTGTGAGTGCAACTTTACAGAAAGTATGAAAGTAGTATGAGACATGATAAGATTTTCGGAACATTACTAATACTTTGATCTCCCGTTTCGTTTGTGGGATTTGGAATCAGATTCCATTCCAATTCCGTGTTTGGTTTAAAGGAAAGTCCAGAATTGAAATCCCACAAAAATTGGATTTAGAAATCCCAGGGTATTTCATGGGATATCGTTGGATTTGTTTGTAAATATGTTCTAAAATATATTAAAAACATTTGTTTGGTAACAATCAAAGGTAATTTTATTATTTCTAAATAATTTGTTTGTTTTTTATAAATTATCAATAAAGAATGGAATTCTTTTCCATTCCAAATCCTACAAACCAAACACACCAAAGATTCCTAATCCTTCTAATTCTAAATCTTTCCATGAAATCCAAATCCCTCAAAAACATTCCAGCAAACCAAAAGGGCCCTGAAAATATTTTCACTCAATAGTAAATTGCGTTTGCAATTAGGCTAGCAACAATTTGCCATCCATTCACGCATTGTTTCAAAGGAATTAAAATAAAAAATTTGGGTGTTTTTGCTACATTGAACTATAACTTCTGCTTATGTGTATCAACTTTCGCAGCTTCAGTTCATGTTTCCTTTCAGCTGCCTTATTTTATGATTCCTGAAATACATCCAACCATTATAGCTCTAATTTCTCTAAGTCTCTTGCTTAGAGAAGCTGGCATAACTGTTGATCAAAGCCAAAGCATTGCTGGTCAAGTGTGCAACATTCACAATTTTTCCTCTGACCATGCTTTTCATTTTTGGGTCATTCACAAATCCTTCGGAGCATGTGTCTTCATCTGTCATTGCGGAACTAACCCATGTTTGTATGTCGTTGATCACTAGCTCGGAATCTTTAGAACCCGATCGATTCATCTCCTCAAGTGATCCATTCAACTCGTAAACAGAGTCACTCAACATCTCAATGTAGTCTTTCATGGCGGCAACCTCTCGAGGAGCCATGCCATGCACTCGTGACAATTTTATCATTGCTGGGGAGGTGGAGCGGGTGGTGTCGAGGTGATGGATATAGCTATTTGTGCTAGTAGATTAGGGCTTGTTTGGATTGCACCTGCTCGAGTTGACAGTGAGTTGAAGCAGAGTGTAGGGTAAGTTGTCAAACTGCAAGATGATCTCATGAATTCAATATTTGTTTTCTCGAGGGCAGAGATGAAACTAATGGAGGAAGCCGTGTAGAGAAGTATTATCAGATTAAGGTTAGTGTTTTTTGCTAGAGAATTGGTCGAATATGAGCCCTCGATATCTTGTATATTTTTGTGTTGGATGGTAGTAGAAGTTTTAATTGGGGGTTGTAAAGAGAACTTTGTATAGCTCAAAGTTTGAAGCTAAAGTATAACCCAACCCAACCCAACCTGTTAAAAAATATAACCCAAACCAACCCACAACCCTTGCGGGTTGGTACAGGTTGGCAGGTTAATGCTTGATGGTTGATATGTTAAAATATTTCCGTTACTTTGGCCTTAGGACCATTTATATAAAAGTGTTCTATAAATTGGTATATTTATGTTTAAATATACTTAATTATTTATATTGTATCATTTGATGGAAATGATACATAAAGGGCAAAGTGGTAATTCCCTTTACACTACTTAAATAAAACCGAAAATTAATATATAAATAGAAAGGGGCATAAAAAGGGGCATTACAGTTATAGCCTTATATATCCTTAGACTCCTTTCATTTTAACAGCTCTTTGTTTGTACGATTCAACACCAGAGAATGGGAAAGAGAGAAAACAGTCTTTTTGTTCAATGATCTCCATCAATCAGTGGTGATTCAAAGGGATTACATAAAAGGACATGGCTTCATCCAATCATACTCCTATCAAGTTCAACCAAGCAAGTAAGTGTTTTCAATTTTCTTTTGGTTTTTGATGATTTGTGTTCAAATTGAGGAAGAAACGATTTCGTATGTATGTTTTTCTATGAAATTATCAATCATGTGGTATCAGAGCATGGTTATTCTCAATCAATTTGAACCAATTTATAAAATGAAAACCCTAATTCCCGTTCTTTGAAAATGTGGTATGAAATTGATAAAAACATAAAATGCATATCAAAGTGGGACGATCAAATTTATAAACAGAACCAATTTCATTGTAATGAAATTTATAATGGAATCATGTGGAATGGAATCAATTTCATTGTAATCAAATGCATATCCCGATTTCAAGTAACAAAATCAATTTAATTTTGAATTATTAGAACATGTGCATATATCCTGATTTCTAGAAACCATTCAATTTAATTTTGAATTATAATGGAATTTCATTACAAACAAAATCAAAGTGAGACATGTGGTTGATATGCATATGAAAATTGATTTTATAATAAGCCCTTTCTAACAATGCATATGAAAGTGTTTGATTATGTAATTTTTATATATTTTATTAATCCTACTTTCTGAAAATCGCATGCTTCTATGATATGCATCTGTAAATCCTATGCTTCTATAAATCCATCGGACCACTTTTATATGGTCTTTGAACCGTGGTAAAAATCCATCGAACCTTTTTTTTGTCCACAAGCAAATAACCGAGAAAGTTTGTAGTCGGGTTCTAAAGGTTCACAAGCAGTGACTTATTTAGAGCAGCGACCAACCGACATAATATTGACTATTAAGATGCGAACTGTTAACTCTTTCTCGTTGTCTTGTAACTGAATTGATTCGAGGGCTCCACTGTGTAATCTGCATATTTATTATATGCATAAATATGTTACACTCCCAATCATGGGCTTATTTTGTTTTCTTGATCATTAAACTAAATGGTACTTTGAATGGAAATTTAAATGATTGACCCAACGGTATATCATTTAATTTGACATTCAAAATTAAGTGATACCATATTATGTAATTATATATATTATCATGCAACCAACCCAATGGCTAATTGTTTGACAATATATATGATGGATTGTTAGCATAATTTGCATAGACATAACATCTCTGCCCAAAGGTGATATGTAGTGTTTATGTAGCGTAGTTTAGAATATTAATTGTGTCGTCTTGTTTGATTGTTGGTCATAACCAACGTGAAACCAATAATCAAACAAGACACAATCATGGCCTATTATTTTGGTGTTGATAATAGGCGATCTTCTAATTTATGATATTCTTGTTATTTTAAAATATCCCTAATATGTTTAGTCACTTCTTTACATACATTTGACTTCATAGTAACCCCTGGAACCACTCTGTCACATAACTATGGGATTGAGCCTTTGACTGGGACTAATTTCTCATCCTGGAGGGATAATGTAAAATTAACCCTTGGAGTTATGGATTTAGATCATGCGCTAAGACATGATCGTCCCGCTGAGCTCACTGCAACAAGTACTGCAGATCAAAGGCGAGCTTACGAACAGTGGGAGTGATCGAACCGCATGTCATTCATGATCATTAAAAACTCCATTTCAATAGCTATTCGCGGAGCCATTCCTGACTCGGACAATGCGAAAACCTACTTGGATTCGGTGGAGGAACAATTCAAGGGAACCTCCAAGGCTCATGCGAGTACCCTAATACTGAAGATGTTGACAAGCAAATATGATGGTATAAGCAGTGTGCGTGAGCACATCATGATGATGAGCGACATGGCAAACAAGCTTAAAGGCATGGACATGGAGATCAGTGAGGGCTTTCTAGTCCACTTCATAATGACTTCTCTCCTTGCACAGTTTGGTCCTTTCAAGATCAGCTATAATACGCAGAGAGATAAGTGGAAGATGAGCGAACTGATTGCAATATGCGTGCAAGAGGAGGAGCGTCTTAAGATTGAGAAGCCCGATGTTGCTTATGTCACTACTACAAATTCAGGCAATAGAAAGGGTAAAAGTCAATATGGAGAGAGTTCGAAGGCCTAGAAAACAAGTACAAATAACACTCCGAGTTCACGTAAGCCAAAGGGACCCCCTCGCTGTAAGTTTTGTCATAAGAAGGGACACTTCCGGCGAGAATGTCCAAAATTCAAGGATTGGTTAGCTAAGAAAGGTAATATCGCTTCTTATATGATTTATGAATCCCTTAATATTAGCGTTCCATCTAATACATGGTGGATTGACTCCGCTTCCATGGTACATGTTACAAATTCCTTACAGGGATTCCATACAACCCAGACATTGCCAAGAAACCAAAGGAACATTGAAGTCGGGAATGGAGCAGATTTAAGTGTTGAAACCGTAGGAACCTTACCTTTAGTAGTGAAAGGGGGCTTCTGTATATATTTATATGACACTTTATAAGTACCGAGCATTACTCGGAATTTAGTATCTGTACCTAAACTTAATAAGTGTGGTTATAAACTACTATTTGATGATGGTATAGTTACTATTAGCCTAAATTCTGATGTTGTTGGTTTTGGTTATTTGGAGGGTGACTTTTACAAATTACGTTTGGATGATGACTTCTCGAAATCCCTATTAGTATATAATGTCGATGAGAATATACATAAAAGAAAACGAGATCTTGAAACTTCATCTATGTTATGGCATCAACGCTTAGGCCATATTTCACGAGACCATATGTTGAGCCTCGTGAGAGATGGAGTATTACCGAATCTTGCTTTTACTAATTTTAATACATGTATCAAATGTGTTAAAGGGAAAATGATAAAGGGAAATAAGAAGGGTGCCGCTAGGAGTTCCGGTCTATTGGAACTAATACACACCGATATTTGTGGACCTTTTCCCGCGGACACAAATCATTCATTACCTTTATAGATGACTATTCACGTTATATGTACTTGTACTTAATTAATGAAAAATCCAAATATCTAGAAATGTTTAAACCTTGAAGGCCAAAGTTGAAAATCAACTCGACTGAAAGATAAAGGTAGTGAGATCGGATCGAGGGGGAGAGTATTGTGGTTGACATATTGATGTAGGTCAATCTCCCGGTTCTTTCTTTGAATTTTGCAAGAAACATGGGATTGTAAATTGGTATACCATGCCGGGTACCCCATGCCGGGTACCCCTCAGCAGAATGATGTTGCTGAGAGGCAAAATAGGACCTTTTGGACATGGTACAAAGTATGCTGGCAAACACTAACCTACCAAAATTCTTATGGACCGAGGCACTAAAAACGACAGTCCATATACTTAATTGAGTTCCTTCTAAGTCTGTTCCGAAAACCCCTTATGAAATTTGGATAGGAAGGAAACCTAGTTTAAGGTATATGAAAATATGGGGCTGTCCGGCCGAAGCTAAACTCTATATTCCTCAACAAAGAAAACTTGACATGAAAACAGTTAGTTTCTCTTTCATAGGATATCCCGAACGCTCAAAGGGATATCGGTTCTATTGTCCATCTCACAGTACTCGAATAGTCGAAACTCGACATGTCGAATTTCTTGAGAATTCAAATATTAGTGGGAGTAATCCCAATAATGATGTCGATCTCCATGAGATGAATGAAGTAAGTCCTAAAATGACAGTACTTTTTCCTCAAAATGTGCCTCTTGAGGAACCTAATGCCCAATCAGTACCACACGATGAAGGTACATCAACTTTTGAAGCAAATAATGATGGACCTCAAAACTGCATTTCTTAATGGAGATTTGCATGAAGATGTGAACATGACCCAACCAGAAGGTTTTAAGTCTGAGGGTCAAGAACACTTGGTTTGCAAACTCAAGAAATCAATCTATGGGCTAAAACAGGCATCACGTCAATGGTATATGAAGTTTGATGAAGTCAAGAAGAAGAACGACTTCATTAAAAATCAAGTGGATTAGTGTATATACCTCAAGATGAGTGGGAGCAAATTTACTATACTTGTCCTTTAAGTAGATGATATCCTATTGGCAAGCAATAACATTGATATGTTGCATGAGTCAAAGCGCTTACTTTCGCGCAATTTTGATATGAAGGATCTCGGTGAGGCCTCATACGTAATTGGTATTGAGATTCAACGAGATCGTGCCAATGGAACATTAGGTTTGTCCCAGAAAGCATATATTGAACGTGTCCTTACACGTTACAACATGCAACATTGCTCACCTTCGGTTGCTCCCGTGGTTAAGGAGATGTTTTCGGAACCTTCCAATGTCTGAAAACAGAAGTAGAAAAGGATCAGATGAAACCAATCACTTATGCTTCTATAGTAGGGAGCTTGATGAGCATGAGCTTGATGTATGCTCAGGTTTGTACACGTCTTGATATCGCTAACGTAGTGGGCATGCTAGGCAGGTATCAGTCTAACCTTGGCCTAGATCACTGGAAGGCCGCTAAGAAGGTCTTACGATATCTTCAGGGGACTAAAGCCTACAAACTTATTTATATAAGAACGGATTATTTGGAAGTGATAGGATATTCCAACTCTGACTTTGCTAAATATAAAGATGATAAAAAGTCGACCTCGGGATACATTTTTATGATGTCAGGCGGAACCATTTCATGGAGGAGTCACAAGCAACAATTGACGACAACCTCAACTATGATGGCGGAATATGTTGCGGTATATAATGCTACATGTCATGGAATGCTTTTGAGGAATCTAGTTAAAGGACTCAAGATAGTCAACTCCATTTCAAGACCGTTGAAGATCTATTGCGACAATTCTGCTGCCGTAAGTTATTCGAACAGTAACAGTTCAAGCGGGGCTGGATTGTATCTTGAAACAAAGTACTTGTTCGTTCGAGAACGTGGAGAGGAAAATAACCTTTGTATCGAGTATATCAACACTCACGATATGTTAGCGGTTCCAATGACGAAAGGTCTACCACCAAGAGTTTTCAAGAACTTGTGATGAAGATGGGTTTTAGGCGAGACCTTGTATGATATACTAGTGATGTGCTTAATTATAATTAGAACAAGTATTTAACTTTGATTTCCTCATGTATCTCATCGTTTGTCTACACTTATGAATTGTGCGCACTTACATAAATCTTATAGACAAATCTTATGTTTATTACCACATTATGGTTATTGTGATTTGTGGCCTTCATTATGTGATATCTTTATACAAGTACCTTAGTATGATTGATGGGGGTCCTGTATCGATAATGATACATGTAACTATATCTTTCTGCTATGGTGTGAGTATGAAGGATGTTTAGAACGCTACTTGGCCAACTTAATGACAAATGGTCACTCGGCCAAGTGGGAGAATGTTAGAATATTTCCGTTACTTTGGCCTTAGGACCATTTATATAAAAGTGTTCTATAAATTGGTATATTTATGTTTAAGTATACTTAATTATTTATATTGTATCATTTGATGGAAATGATAACATAAAGGGAAATGATAACATAAAGGGAAAAGTGGTAATTCCCTTTACACTACTTAAATAAAACCGAAAATTAATATATAAATAGAAAGGGGTATAAAAGGGGCATTACAGTTATAGCCTTATATATCCTTAGACTCCTTTCATTTTAACTGTTTTTTTTTGTACGATTCAACACCAGAGAACGGGAAAGAGAGAAAACAATCTTTCTGTTCAATGATCTCCATCAATCAGTGGTGATTCAAAGGGATTACATAAAAAGACATGGCTTCATCCAATCCTACTCCTATCAAGTTCAACCAAGCAAGTAAGTGTTTTCAATTTTCTGTTGGTTTTTGATGATTTGTGTTCAAATTGAAGAAGAAACGATTTCGTATGTATGTTTTTCTATGAAATTATCAATCATGATACAATTACGAAAGCAAAAGAAGAGAAAACTCTTAAAAAACCAAACAACTAAGTCACTAACATAGAGCAATAGGGCAAACTAGTAGTTGTAGTCTCGCAGTGGATTGACTCCAAGCCTATTCCGACCCAATCCTTGTAAAAATTTGGAACATGAATCAATTTTTGTTTCGTCCGGGTTGGGTTCATCGGCCTATTTTTTGGTTTGGGTTGGGTTGGGTTGGGTTGCCGGTCTATCGGGATTTTGTATAGCTTTACTTCAGATCACCTCAACTTTATGATGTTATATTTCTAGTTTTATTGTACATCATTTTGAAAGTTACTTCATCTCCATTAAAGATGTGTGTCTCGGACATATGACCTTATGACAACCTCTTATGATACTTGAGGGGCAAGGAGTCTAGGGTTTTTGAATCGATGACGTTTGTTTGTTCTTGATTTTAGTTTCTATTTTTTCTTAGGTATTCATTATCAAGGTTTTAAAAAGCGGAATCGAGACTCGAGGTGTTTTCCTTCCACGCCCTGAGGCGTAAGTTTCATGGTGGTCCGAGCCACAAGCCTCGAGGCGTAAAACAAATAAAATTCATAATATTAATGATAAGCCATAATTCCATACGAAACTTTAAACATCATAGATTCTTAAAATTACTAACTGTAAGTCTAAAAACATATCAATCTACAACTTATTGTTCCCTGTAGCATGATCAAGTTGTATAGCTCCACAATTGTATCCATAATCACTATCACAAACTAAAAAGAACTTACTTTTTGGGTTGGCCTTTGAGATGAATATCTCCTTGAGAGAGGAAAAAGTAAGAAATGCAGTAGAAAAAAAAATAGGGTTTGGAGAGGTATTCTCGGTGGAGAAGAAAAAAAGGAGGAGAAGAAAATATGGGAAGAAAGGAGGAGGAGAAAGACAAAAGTAGGATTAGGAAATGGAAATGTAACATTTGTTTCTGATTGGTAAGATAAAAGTACATCCTAAAGGCTTCTTTGTACTTTAAATTATAAAAGTACAATTGAGTGTTTGACTTTACTTGAGAAAAACTTGAGTAATATATTTTTTTTTCTCGCCTCATCAGGCACCTATTCTCAACAAATCAAGGCAACAGCAAATTCAGGTGTGCACCTCAGAAATGCCTCACGCCTCAACGCCTCAAGGCACCGCCTCACCAATTGAGGCTTAAGCCTCATCTAGGGACCATGAGGCGCCGCCTCATTAGTGGTTTTTGACCGCCTCGCCTTGAGGCGTACGCCTCACATGATTTTGAAAACCATGCTCATTATTACTATTATATATGGCAACATAAAAGTTCTTTCATTTAGAGAACGGTGAAGCGATTTGATTTGGATCTTTAATCATGTTATGCTGCTTTTGGCAACCGATGCACACATAGAACAGTAGTGCATTTTTAACCCTACACACCCTTCTCTCTTGTTCAAAAGCTGCAGAACCACATATTTCACACACTAGATCTGGCAGAAGTGGGACATTTTACTTGTTCTAAGCTACCCCTTTTATCCATCCTTTTCCTCCTGTCATTCTTACAACTTAACCAAATCAGCCACCTACACTTTCACCAGAGCCTACTTCCTTAAATCATCATGTCATACTACTAGGTTCCGTGACTTGTGCTTTAGCACTTTATCCCCCTATTCCAGTATTATTCAAGAAGCCCGACGGAACTAGTGGAGTCGTCTTGACTGTGAGCTTTCAATTCTCATTCTATGTATGAGAATACATAAATCGATGGTGGTTAGTGGTTATGAAGGAGTTGGTTTGTCCAGATTTTGTGGAGTTGTTGGGAAGGTGATCACATGGGTGAGTATAGCCATGACTGATGACGATACATGTACAGATGCATTTGAAGGAGATGAAATGGAAATTAAAGGCTCCATTAGAGTTAATATATATAATCTTTCGAGGTAAATTAGCAATATTTCGGCTCTCGGTCAGAGCCAGAAAATCTACTTAGGTGACCAGTTTATAAATTTCTCGAGGCCGAAAATTACTTCATCTATGATTTATATTTTTAAACAGTTTTATTAGCTATAAAAATGAACTGGAAACGGCCGTGCTTGTGAGCCCATAGAAAAGCCAATTCATTGCTTGAGTAGGCATGTAGGATTGGATGTGAATGAGTGGAGACAAAAAGTTTGTCTAATTGAGTGTGGGGTTTTGGATGTTTAAAGAAGTCATGTTGCAAGTGCTGTTGTAGAATTACCCCTTTTGCCCCAATGAGAACGAAAAAGCTTATTTCGATGTTCAGTATTAACTACAACATTGTTTTTCAATAAGAATTTGGGTTAGATTTGACACTTGGTTCTTCTTTCCTTATAACTTGCATTTTTGCACAAGCTGGGGTATTCATGAAAAGAGCTGTTTTACCCTTTAGGTTGAGGATAAGTCTGTGTACATCCCACCCCCAACCCTGCTTTTGAGATGGATAACCTGTTTTGTTTGATTTGGTTTGGTGTTTTAGCTTCCTAGAGTTTTACTGTTATAGGAAAACTAAAAGAGGATACGTCTGTGTACATCCCACCCCCAATCCTGCTTTTGAGATGGATAACCCGTTTCGTTTGATTTGGTTTTGTTTTTCAGCTTCCTAGGAGTTTTACTGTTATAAGAAAACTACAAGTTTAGTTGTTAACATATTTTGTCTACTTGTCATGTTAGGAGAGTGTTTTAAACACTCGATTTCGAATATATATTTTTTAGATCACCATAAGTGTCTTGCAATTCTCATTCATATGGGGTGGTGTGGGACCAAAAAAATCTAATATCGTCAAACAAAACTGATCTACATTACTTGTAGCCAACATAAAAGATTGTTTTTTCTCTCTCCATTCCCATTGTCAAGGAAACAAACTGAAGGACACACACACACACACACACATATATATATATTTTAAGATTTGATAGTATACTTTATTTATAATTTTATATATATATATATATACATATATATATATATTTATGTTCTATATATTATAATAAATCATATTAAGAATACCAAATTAATCTTCTAACTAAATTCTAGTTGTGTACCCGTGAGATGATGCAAAATTTTATTATAAGCAGTAATGGAAATTTGATGCGATTTCTCATTAAAAAGGAAATCCGAAATTTATGAAATTACAATACTTTGTAATCATACAAAGGTGTACATAAACAGCGCGAAAGTATTTTCGGTATTTTATGAGAAAACACACCTCATGGTGAATAGTCGAAAGTATGTTTTCTTATATGGTGTGTTATTAGTTTTCTGGGCCCTTGTCATAATGTGAGCTTTAGAAAGTGGACCACATTCTTAAAGAACTTTCCTCATTTTCATTTTAGACTTCCAATTTACAGGAAGTATGAAAGCAATATGAGGCATGATCATATGTTCACTCAATAGTACATTGCATTTGCAATTAGGCTAGCAACAATTTGCCATACATTCACATTGTTACAAGGAATTAGAACAAAAAATTTGGTTTTTTTTTGCTACATTGAGCTATAACTTCTGCTGGTGGGCTTGAAGTTTCGCTGCTTCACTTCATGTTTCCTTTCAGCTGCCTTGTTTTATGATCTTGAAATAGATCCAACCATCATATCTCTAATTTCTCTGAATTTCCTGCCTAGAGAAGCTAACATAACTGTTGGAAAGGGATCAATAGTGATATGGGTTTTCCAAAATGGCAAAACCCATGTATTCCTTATTCATAATCTAAATAGATTAGTGACTTGTACTTGATGGTTTGTATATTTTATACTCTTAAAATTTTAGTGTTTTATCTAAATGTTTTATAAAATAGTATAGATAAAATGAAGATATATCTTGTATTGTAATTCCTGTGAAAACATTTTGGAATCATGAAAATTGACTGGTTCATTTCTGAGTACTTTGTAAGGTGATTTTGGCCTTTGAATGGCCTCATACATCACATTTTGATACTTTTTATAAATTTATCAAACAAATTATATTCACATTTTGATACTTTTTATAAATTTCTCTCTCAAATTAGAAATCTTTTATAATGTAGAACAATGCATAACAACAAAAAGTGGTCATATGCTGGGACCGAGTGAGTGATATCCCCTTATTTATATTTTGGGTTTTTGATGAGAAAATATACCTCATAGTGAAATAGGAGAAAGTATGTTTTCTTATATGGTGTGCTATTAGTTTTCTGGCCCCTTGTGTTCTTTAGAAAGTGGATAGCATTCTTAAACAATTTCCTTTTCATAGACTTCCTTTTCATGACGATCCGATGAATTCGACGTTTGTTTTCTCGAGGGCGAAGATGAAACTGATGGAGGAAGCCATGTAGAGAAGTATTATTAGCATAGCGTTTTATGCTAGATTTTTGGTTGAATATGAGCCTTCCATATGTTGTATATTTTTGTGTTGAATGGCAGTAGAAGTTTTAATTGGGGGTAGTAAAGAGAACTCTGTCTAGCTCAAAGTTTGAAACTAAAGATGTAGGTTATGGAAATGGAGCAAACACTCCAAATTTATAGGAAATAAATGTAGATATCGATGAGGTTNAGCCATGTAGAGAAGTATTATTAGCATAGCGTTTTATGCTAGATTTTTGGTTGAATATGAGCCTTCCATATGTTGTATATTTTTGTGTTGAATGGGGGGGGGGGGGGGGGGGGGGGTAAGTAAAGAGAACTGTGTCTAGCTCAAAGTTTGAAACTAAAGATGTAGGTTATGGAAATGGAGCAAACACTCCAAATTTATAGGAAATAAATGTAGATATCGATGAGGTTTATCTTCTAAACACTTTGTCGTCTTAGATGATCACCAGCAATAATTAATGAAAAGATATGAAAGCTCGTCTTTATCTTAGACAAAGTATGATCAAGTCTTTTGCCAAAGTATCTTCCAAGTAGGTCTTAGCAACATGCAATCATGCAACCTTTAGCCGTCCTACGTTGAAGGATATGCGCCACAAAGTTGGATTTTCTTTTTCATTTTTACTTAATTACTTAATTACTGAATTCTGTTAGCATTCTCACTTTTCAATAATTTTCTAGTTTAGTTGGTAGATCCAATTCCTTAGCTAACTTGGGCTTCACCATTGGATGGGCAGGACCGGGGTCTAGAAATGGGATGAAGATTGCAACGTCTGGAAGTTGGACCGCTGGGGATAAAGAATTGCAATAAACTTTCCTCACCACTTGCTGCTCGACTTGAACAGGTGCTTTCTCTATCTATCTCTATCAACTCTCTCTCTTAGATGCATGAATTGTTTTGGCTTATTGAAAAGATATTTATTTATGTCTATATTGCAAAAGTGTAGATCTTTTAATATCTAGTAGATATAATGAAACGGAAATCAAGCAAGAATTCGAATGAAATTTGGTTTTTTGATGTGCTTAACAAGATATACATTACAATATTATGATTTACTTGTAGGAGCTTGCAATTAAAGGTTCCAGCTTACTTCAATTACCTCAATTCTTTGGCTAGTCTCTGGCCAATGAACATGATCTGTAGGTGCTTTCAAGGTCAACGCATCAGATCATTAGACTCTGCCAACTTTGCTTCCAATTTCATTGGAACCGAATGACCCTTTTCTTTCTTTTTGGTCATCAGATTGCCTCAGATGTTACATTCCCGGTTGTATTTTTGCATACCCATATGACATTTACATGATGTTCACTAAAGATGCGAGTGGCAAACATGTGACCTTAATCATGATAAGCTTTTATGATTCTTTAGGGACATGAAATCTAGGGATTTGAATGGATGGCATTTGTTTGTTCTTGATTTTGGGTTCTATTTTCTTAGTTATTCATTATGGCAACATAAAAGTTGGTTCATTTAGAGAAAGATGAAACCATTTGATGTGGTTTATAAGGTCTGCTTACATGTACCCTTTCCATATCCTATTTCGTGTTCGATTTGGTTTCATTTATTAAATACTAGTTGTGCACACCTTATGTTATGCAATTTGATGCAAAAAGAATTTTAAACCGAAAATGTATTATTAATGTAGATCCTATTTTTTTTTTTTTTTTTTTGTAAAGGATTGATGGTGAGATGTGGACTTTGTAATACATTAGTAATTTGTATTACACTCTTACAATTTAAAAGTTTTACTTAAATGCTTTATAAAATAATGTAGGTAAGCTAATGCTTTTTGGGTTGTCAAGTTCTAAAGTTTGAATTTTATGTTTTATCTACCCTTTAGAAAGTCTTTCGACACAATTATGTCTTCGTCATCCCTTTTACTGGAGAAGCTTTTCTCTTATTGTCTCAATTTGCGCTTAACTTCTGTACTTTAATCCCCATGAAAACTTATTAGGATCAAGAATAAATGATATGAGGTATGATGGTATGATGTTCATCTACGAATGGCCTCAGATGTCATCCTCAGATACCTTTTATAAATATCCTCCAAACAAATTATATACAATACATGTGCATTTATGTTTAGATTGGGACCATTTCTTCCCTCTTACTCCCACATCAGAAATATGTAGAAGACCCTACAACAAAATCTCATCACATGCTATGACTGAATGGTTAACATCCCCCCCCTCCCCCCCAAAAAAATAAAAATAAAAACACACACGGACATATACATATTATATAATGTGGTGATGAAATGAGAACTACAAAAATGTTACAAATCTGTGAAAACCGATATTTTATCAGCTATGTTTTTAAATATTGTTTCACATATGTTAAAATTACATGTGAAAATTCATAGAGTGAAACATATACATGTGAAATTATTACATTATGAAACATATGGGTTGGGTTCCGTTGAGAAACATAATAAGGGATCTCCATCCTTAAACGCACATTAGGATGAGATGCATTGGGATCAATCTCCATATCATTTGTCGAAAAAAATATTCTTAAATCGGTTATCAGGGGTTTGACTTTTTCCGGTTATCAAGTAACCTTTTTATGGTTCATATAAATAATTAACAACCTACTAATCTTTTGCTATAAATCACTAACACTTAATGAAAAGTTTTGAGGAGCAATATAAGCAACACCTATATTGTTGTTCAAGTCTATTTCCATGGTTCCTATTATAGCTTGATCAAGATTAGAAAATCTATTGTCAATCAAGACTAACAAGGCTTTTGTTCCTAAACCAGTTCTATGAAGACCTTTTACTGCAATAATTAAAAGTCCAAAATGTAGAGTGGTTCTGCTGGTATGTCTTAATCTAATGCTAGCTTCTCTAGTCATTAAATTAATGGAAATAACTCTTCCTTGGGGTACAACAAGATTTTGTAAACTATGGTGTCTAAAAAGACCAGGGTTTCTTTCGAATATCCCAGTAGAATAAAGTCTAATAGGATTAAATGCTTCTAACTGATTATTGTTAAGAAGCTGTTCACTTCTATCAACATTAATCATATCTTCAAGTCTAGAAGTGTTAGAAGATCTTCGAGAAAATAACCTTCGTAGGGTATTGAAATTTAGCCTAGTTTCTTGTCCAACAATTTGAGACCTCCTGTTGTTCACAGATTCATTTTCATTGATAGTTCTAGAACGACCAAGAAAAAGAGTTCTACTTGTCATTTTGCTTGTAAACAAGAAAATTGGTTTTGACTTTAAGTGATTTTTGTAAGCATGTTACTTTACAAATCTAGACACTAGGATATGAAAAATTTTTAGGAAAAAATCTGGCCATAGAGATAGTGTTTTTAGGAAGACTAATTGGAATAGCTGGAAGTCAGTATAATGTTGATATTGACTCAATCATACAGACGGTGTCTTCTAGAGGAATACAAATGATACCTCCTGTCCAGATTGATTCTCAAACCATTGCTGGAAGTGAATGGACCATTCCATTCCATTCCATAGAGAACCATCTACAATTGTCCCCACTAGTTATGTCTCTTACATTAACCCAGTGGATCTAAATCATTGAGATTTAGAAATTACAAGGACAATGCCTTATCTTCAAATGTTTATGATGAAAGTGAAACTATTGATGAAGATCTGCATAGATTTTCCACTAGTTTTATGAATATTGAGCTTAGTGATGAATGGGATACATTAGAAGAAGACTCTAAGTACTTTGATTCTAGTAACCCAAATGAGATCAAACCCTTTTTAGTCAAATATACTCCTCCTGAGTCGAGTAAGACTAAAATTGAAGACATAAAACCTACTGGATGGAATGAATGTGATCATAAAATTCTTTACCCTAAAGAATTATTTGGTTATACTCTGAATCCTCAGGAACTTGAAGAAATGGAAGCTCTCCTTAAGAAACAAGGACAACTTCATGAATCACAAATTATCTATCAAGATGATTTGGGAAACATAAGAATGACTCCAAAAGATGAAGATCTTTTAGACTCTTTCTTATCTGATTCTGTAGAGTCCATTAACTTTGCTCTTATGAATGAAGGAAGTTGATCTACTGTCACACACCCTGTACCTGGAAGACTTGAAACCATGGCTTATGAAACAGGTATACCTTCTAGAACACAAGCTAAAGGTTATGTTGAACCAACCCTTAGTTATAGGAATAAAGGAAGAAGATTACCAACTGATCCAACCTTCACTTGGAAATCTACACCTTTGTTGAATCTAACTGATATTCATCCTCAGTTATGGAACTCTTATCTTGAAACCTGGTCTCAAGAAGTACATCGTGACTACACAACAAAATATCTTGAAAAAGATATTAATGCCGAGGTAATGATTTCTATTGCTGAAAATTATCTTGGAACTACTGCACTTGCTGCATGGGAAGATTGGAAAAAACATTTCCCTGAACCACTTGCACAACTTGTCTCACAAGGAAACAACATAAGGAATTTTACCTCAACAATTCTTAGAATTATTAATGGTGGAGATACCTTATCTGGTTTATCAATAAGACAAAATGAAGCTCTTAAACTCACCTTTTTGGACTAATTCATACTTTTTTTCCCCTAAAACGCACTCTTGGCTAACAGTGGGTACTTTTTCTGAAGTTAAACATCCTTACGTCTGTTGTTTTTTCAAAGAAGATTTTAACTTTCTTAGCATATCTTAAGACAATTTTTTAAAATTACAACCACGACTTTTCCCAGAGGTTTGGCACAATGCCTGACAGTTATACCCCTGTCATGGGTATGAACTAACAGCAACCAAATTTCTTTATGATATAATTCATGAGATCTTATCTTTATAAATAAAGATTATAAAAGATAATAAGAATATAAATTTCACAACATGATTTGGCTTTCTAATAAGAGTTTTAGCCTGCCATAATAATAAAAACTAACCTTGTATTTATACAGTCGGTTGATTACAGAAATAGATGATTACAAATCTTCAAACTCAAAACCTTACAATATTTAGCACTCTCTAATATTTCTCTGGTAGATTCTTATTGTGTTTGAAACACCTACAAGAGCAACTTATTTATAGTAGAAAAAGAGAAAGCAACCGGTTACCAAAGGCTATTACCGGATCGAAATTCAAAATATGAACAGAGAAAGTTGGGGCATGATTGAGACTTATGCCACAATTTTCATCACTCTTTTAGAAAAGCAAAATCAAGATGCTTTTTTAGTCCTCCACATTTGTCCAATACAGCTGTGATCATACAGGTGTATTATTCCATGATGTTTTGTCCTAAAGCGCTTTGTCTGCTAACCTTTTGAGAGCTTTGTCTTTGAAGAAGATTCTCCATTTATCTTATGCATTGGCTTCATCATTAAAGAATTTGAGAAAAGAATAAGCAGCAACTGCAAATGGTACATAGATTTTGACCGTAGGAGTTTCTCCAAATAATGAGTAGTCTTCAGATGGTAATATTTCAGAATTCCAGAAGAAGTCTGAATAATGAACATGGTAATACCATATCTTTAGATCTTCAAGGGATTGACCGGAGATGTATTGCCAATTAGGATAGTGAAGTAACAACTTATCGTTCCAATCTGAAGAAAATGTTTTTGAAAGTATCTTGATAGCTGAACAACTAGGTTCAGGTTCAGATTTCTAGAATTTTGGAGGTGAAGAAAAGATGTCCACCAAGATGATATAATCATCATATGTTTTAACCAATTCAATAGCTTCAATAACTCGAACTGGAAGCCAATTGATTTGATCAATATYAGATAGGATTAGTCCGCAAAGTAATCCATACTTGAAAAGATCATGAAAACTTATTTTTTCATTTCGAAACATTTGTTCAGATGCAATAGATAAATCAATCTGAATTGTTCTAAAAAATATTCGTTTTTCATCATCTGGTATTGGAATCTCTTCCAATTGTACAGAGAAACCTTGAATAGGTGATCGTGAAATAACCATCAGTCATTCTTGGTATTTTAAAAAGGTTTCAAAGTTGATGTCAGAGAGATCAACTAATTCTTTAAGAAAGTGAAAACAATTAAGATCTAGAATCAATAATTGTTTTTTAACAAGATCTTATGGGTTTGGTAAAACATTTTTACCTTTCATCTGTGAAGATGTAGAAGATGTCATTAAAGTATTTTCACAAGTGAAGTCCATATTTTCATCATCATCAAGAGAATGATGAGTTTCAAAGATAGGATCCAAATAATAGTTGAAGCCTACTTTATCATGAGTAACTCTGAGACATTCAAAAAGATTGTGAAAGCCCTTCCATAAAGAAGAAGGAGGTTTCTGAGCTTCAATCTTAACAGCAACATCTGTCCATTTTTTGTAAATTCCCTTATAAGGTCCATTCTTAAGGAGATAACAATAAAATCATTTTGGACATTGCTTAATATCATTAAATCTTTGAGCAACCGAGTTAATAATAAAAAATTTCTCATTGGTTTGGTCA